TTGTAGAAATTGATGAATTTTGGAGGAAAATTAGAATTTGATATTTTTTGAATTTTGACCAGGAAATTTTTATGGAATTGGGAATAAATCATATATTTGAGTTCGTGGTGATATGGATAATGATTATATTAAAAAAATCGGAAACGGGGCACGTGGGTCCGAGGGTTGACTTTGTTGACATTTCGAGCGGAGTTGAAAATTGATAGAAATTGATTAATTATGAGTGTAAGAGTATATTTTTATTGGTTTGCGTGTTGTTTGACTAGTTTCGAATGATGTCCATCGATTTGAGGTGTTAGAGAGGCGTTGAAGCCGATTAGGGAACTTCGGAGCGAGGTAAGTCTCATGTCTAACCTTGTGAGGGGGAAACTACCCTGTAGGTATTAAATTGTTATGTGATGCTAGTTACGGGTGCTATATACGCACGAGGTGACTAGAGTCTGTATGTAGCTAAAAGCATATTTATGTCTGGGTAGACTTAGGACTTTATCATGTAATATTTGACCTAGTTGAACTCAATTTGCTAGCTTAATTACTTGAAAATATAATTGAAATTAATTGGGAATATGTTAGGCCGAGCTTTATCACCTTGAGTTGTTTGACGTGATGTTTGATAGACGGTAAAAATCAAGTTTACTTTATGCTAGTAATGTTTACTTTATGCTCCTGTACTTGTGTTGCAAACACATGACCCGTAATTCGATAAGTTTCTTCCTATCCTGTGGATTGGGCGGAACGCCTCGGCAGTATATTGAGATGCATCTTTGGTTCGCGCTAGTCAACCCTCGGCAGTGTACACACCACTCTAGATCGGGCCGTACGACCTCAGCATAATCGTACGTGATACCGTTAGGAGTCCGAATATTCGTGAGATTTTCCTATTGAGACCTGGAATTTATATGATATTCCTCCTCCGTTTGATATGGCACTTGATATTTCTGATATGTGGAGATAGCATATGAGATCCGAGAGATTTATATCGTCAAAAGAAATGTAGGAGGAGTATGTTTTTACCTCATGGTTGTTGTTGTGATTCATATTTGTTTATAATTTATTATATTATTTTATTGAACCACTAGTAAGTGTTGATGTCGACCCCTTGTCACTACTTCTCTGGGGTTAGGCTAGATACTTACTGGATACACGTTGATTTACGTACCCATGCTACAATTCTGCACTAAATGTGCAGGATTTGACTGGTTCATTTGGTGATCTTGGCGTGTAGGTGCAGCTGCTGAGGAGACTTTATGGTGAGCTGTAATCCAGGCTACGTGCCACAACCCACAGAGTCTTTATCATATTTATTTACTTTATCCTGTCTAATTTACATTCCAAACAGATGTTGTATTATCATTGTACTCCTTAGTAAATGCTCATGTGCTTGTGACACCGGGTTTTGAGACATTCTATTGATGTTAATAATTTTGGTTTAATATTGTCGCCTTTTAGTTATGCCTTACTAAAATTGTATGCACTTATGACTTCAAAAAGTAATAAAATAATTAATTATTTAGATGGTTCACCGCGGGCTTGCCCAACGACGATATTGCGCGCCATTACAATCTATAGTGAGTTTTGAGTCGTGAAAATACAATTAAAATATAACCACTACTCCTATTTCTTCTATTTGGAGGAGTAGATTAATAACTGAAAATAAACAACTACATGATCTTTTTCAAGAAAATAGAATGTTAACAACTACTCTATCCTATTACTATAGTAGTACGCACCAAACTTTAACCCTGTGCCCACTAAGTAGACTTCATTGCCTCATTAAAGATACTTGGATTACTCCTGGACACACATAGGGGACGACGTGGCACATCATAAAGGTAGAAGTTTAAATATGACGCAATAATTTTTGTTCAAATAATAATTTGTATTAAAAAAAAGATAGAAATGTATATACATCTAAAAACCGGGAGCCTTGATATAACTGCTAAAGTTGTTGTCATGTGACCAGGAGGTCACGGGTTCAAGTCGTGAAAATAGCCTCTTGCAGAAGTGCAGGGTAAGACTGCGTACAATAGACCCTTGTGGTCCGGCCCTTCCCCGAACTCCACGCATAACATAAACTTAGTGTACCAAGTTGTCCATATACAAATAAAAATTAGAAGCCAATTATTAACACTTAAATTCATACTTTTTAAATTCAGCCCACTATACACACATCTCAATTATTTATCAAAAAAAACGACTATTTCCCACTTGTACATTTCACCGTTTTTGTCTCTACTGCACCTCTCACATCTTAATGGAACCGTCTGTCTCCTTGGTGCTTTTCCAAGACATGTAAAAGACAAACAATATTTATACAGTTTTACATCAAATTACTTACTATTTCAATTTTAACAGTTACAAATTAAAATGAAAATATCAATTTTAATCATGCATATATATATATATATATATATATATATATATATATATATATTTATTTATTATTAAATTTGATAGTCACACCTACCCGTTAAACTATAGAGGTCCACTCTCTTCAATTTTCCAGTTGCTATACTCTTCTCTTCCTCTATTTATTAATGCCACTAAATACCAAATAGATCGAATCTGTTTCAACAATGGCTTCCATCATTGAATCTGCTTGGACGGTACTCTTCTCTTTTCTTTTTACATCAATTTTCACCTGATTACCCTTTTTTTTCTCTTAATATTCCAGAAGCTTCGAATTTGTTCCTTTTTTTTTTTCCTTCTAGAAGGTTCGAATTTGTTCTAGAACTACATTCTGCGTTTTCGCTCAATGCGGCTGTTCTATTTGGTTAGATGCATGAGGAACAGTACATTTATGAGCAGAATGGGCGCAGCATTGTTTGTTTGTTTGTATCATTAGCATTTAGCATTCATGTGTAGTAGCAATAGTAATAATAAACAAATGTGTTTGACTTTGACTTTGACTGGAATATGAATTTGTGGCATTTTGATATTTTCATTGCTCCATGCATTATGTGATTGTTAAGTTATCAGGCTCTCTGTTTCATATAGCCGACATCAAGTTTGTGAAGTAGTTGATGGAATTAGTGCTGGTGAGAGGTAGTAGGTTTTAGGTAGAATTAGTCGAGGTTCGTGCAAGCTGGTTTGGACACCACCATCATAAAAAAAGGAAAAAGAAATTGATGTATTTAATTGATTGATCTACTGTCCTACTGGAGCTGATTATGAAGTAAATAGCAAAAATTTAGATATGCCGTGGAAATTCTGTTAGTTCTGTTGTTTTCTGAAGTTACTGATCAGGTATGTTTGGGCTTTGGCATGATGGAAAATATTTTCTGGGAAATGTTTTTTTTAGGAAATTAGTCATTTTTGGTGTATCATTGTTAGAATGTATTTTTTCAAGGAAAATATTTCCACCGAAAGGGGAAAATAACTTCCTGACTTTTGTACAGATTTTCCTTTATCGCAACCCTTAATTTCACATCTTTGTGCCAACATACAGTTAACAATATTGTCAACATTTAGTACTAAATTTTTTCACTCAAAAACCACTATCCGATTTTTTAACATAATTATCAATATTTAACAAATGTTTTTTTTTTCTGAAAAATATTTTCTAATCTCCAACCAAATGCAAAAAACACTTTTCAGAAAAAAAAAACATTTATTAAATATTGATAATTCTGTTTAAAAAGTCGGAGAAACATTTTTCAAAAAATAAGTCATTTTTTGGAAAACATTTTTCAGATAATTGTTTCCATCTACCAAATACCTGAGTTCTTGTTTTCTTGTATGTATTGGTAATGTTAAGACCAAATTTGTATGAACCTCAACTAATCCATGGGCAGCCTATCTAGCCTGGAAGCAGGTTGCCAAGGTAATCATTCTCACCAAGATTGAAGCAAATGGGCTCACACCTAGTGTTATAGCTGGGATTTGAAGCTGAAATTTCCAGGTTGCTGAATGCTTTAACCATTAGGCCATCCGACCGGGGACAAGAATTTATGAGTTTCTTGTCTTTGTTTTCTTTCCAATCATTTTTTTCTTTTCTGTTTCTACGGGATATTTTCCTTTCAAAAAAGAAATACCCAATACAAGGAGGAGGACATAGGCAATAAGGTAAAAGCATTGAATGAGGGAGAAAGCAGGATCTTTTGATCTGCATCAGGGGATGGTTGACACACTCTTGGACTAATAGCAGACATAATCACTATCTGAATATGGTGGAATGTGATCGAAATGGAGTTTGTATAGCACACATGAGAGATTTATTAGCAGCCAAGTTTGAAGTAGGTGGAGAAAGCAGGATCTTTTGATCTGCATCAGGGGATGGTTGACACACTCTTGGACTAATAGCAGACATAATCACTATCTGAATATGGTGGAATGTGATCGAAATGGAGTTTGTATAGCACACATGAGAGATTTATTAGCAGCCAAGTTTGAAGTAGGTGGAGCTCAAATGTTGATAAGTTTGTAACTTTGAAGTAGGTGGAGCTCAAATGTTGATAAGTTTGTAATTATGTAGTCATAGTGAGTTTGAAGGTAAGGTCAGCATACACATTACCCTCCTAGACCCCACTTATGGGATTCCACTGGGCTTGTTGTTGTTGTGGGTTTGGAAACAAGATTAGGAGTGGGAGCAAAAGCTGGTTGGACTTTTAGAATTCTGTTGTGGCAGCAAGCATGGAAATTAGAGATGGATAGGGAGTAAGAGCATGAAGTTGTCCGATGCTTATTAAGTTTATTAGCATGGTATTATTGAAACCAGCTGTGTATGCAAGAATTTTCATGAGCAATATCAGTATTTGAATAATTGAACAAATGAATAAACCAGTATAATGACAAGTGGTGTCATTTTTTTTAATATTTATACGCAATATTTTCATTTTGCTTATTATCTATATAGACATCTAGTAAAAAAAATTGGCGAAGCGGTGTGTCCTGAGACACTGCTTGGGACAAGGTATATCCACCCCTGATTGAAAAATAACTTAGGAAATTGGAAACAATGTAGCCATCTCAAGTTTGGAAGTTTTTGACATGCATTTTGCACTCAGGGAAGTCCAAATCAATCTTTTAACAGAAACTTTGGACTGATGTCTTAGTTTGCTAGTCCCAAAATTTGAGGTTGATTCCATCTTTGGTGTTCAAACCCCATCATGAGCTGCCTGCCTTGAGAGAGAGAGAGAGAGAGCGGTTTGATCTCAAATCTCATGCTCAATGAATTCTTTCTAGAAAATGCCGGTTCGAAGTGCACAAAAAAAGCAGGGGTGAAACAATGGCTCATTACACTGCAATATTTCAAGCTTGTTAGCATTCACCACTTCTCCATGGTAAAATGTTTGAGACTAACGTAGCCTAACATGACAAAACACATCCTTAATGTGAACATATTTTTCTTTGTTCTCAATCAAGTTTGCAATCTGGCTCTCGTCTGCTTCCAATTAAAAGTCTATTCGGTTATGTGGACTAACTAGTCCTACCAGTGCACTCATTCTTATTTAGAGTAATGAGGTACTATTTACCTGTTTAATAGCCTTTTGATTTATTCTTTCTTTTTCAGTATCTCATTACAAATTTCAGCGATTTCCAATTGACTTGTCTTGGTGGGTTCGTTCTTCATGAGAGTGTCTTCTTCTTGTCTGGACTCCCGTTCATTCTTTTTGAAAGGGCAGGGTGGTTTGGAAAGTACAAAATTCAGGTATTACTTTTTGACTCTTCTAATGGAATGATGTTTCTTGATTAAACGTTCCCAAACTGTAATTATAGTCAACTTAAGACTTGTGCTCGAATTCTATTTTGGTTTGCATTTGGAAAACAGTTTCTGGAAAAAGCTTTCTGAAAATATTGCAAAAGCATTCGTGTTTGGCACAATTACTTTGATAAATCTGGTTATGATGTTTCGCTTTCGTAGTAGTTCATTCTGTCGTTATTTGGATGAACTTTCATATTTTTGCATTCTTGACCTCTTTTGGTGCAGAAGAAGAATAACAGCCCGGAAGCTCAGGAGAAATGTATCACTCGTCTGCTGATGTATCATCTTTGTGTTAATCTCCCAATCCTGCTTGGATCATACCCTGTCTTTAAATTCATGGGGACGCGAAGTAGTCTTCCACTGCCGTCCTGGTAGTTTCGATTTTTCATATGCCAAGCTATAGTGATGTGATGGCAACACATAATCGTTGTATTTTTTTCCTTTTTTTGGTCTTCTAATCTTCCTTTCTTTGGTTTTGCTATTTATTTCTTTTTATTTTTGGTTTTAGAATTCATGCAAACTCAGCAAAAAATATGGTATAACAGAAAAGAAAAGATAGTGAGGGGTTAAGATTTAGTTATGTTGGTAAGCTTACTCATGTATAATGTCTGTTAGGGGATTTATAATGTTGTTAGAGATTTGTATGTTAGTAAAACTGTAGACGACATTGATTAAGATGGGCCTAACTGGAACAACATGGATAATGAGACTTCGTTTTTTTTTTTTTGGGATAAAGATGGATAGTGAGGAATCATGTAGCCAACTCCAACTAGCTTGGAATTGAGGCGTAATTGTTGTATAATTTTTTAGTAGGTGTGGCAGAGATTTTCTGTTCTTGTTTATTCATAAGACTAAATTGCAAATATTTTGCTTGTGCAGGAAAGTGATTTCAACACAAATAATATTCTATTTCATCTTGGAGGATTTTGTGTTTTATTGGGGACACAGGATTTTACATACGAAATGGCTCTACAAGCATGTCCACAGTGTCCATCACGAGTATGTGAACAACATTATGTTTTCTGCTTAATACTTGGGTATCTATTTTCTTTTCACCATGCAGTCAGAGCGTCTGCTTGTTTACACCACAGGTACGCAACACCATTTGGGTTGACTTCTGAGTATGCTCACCCTGCTGAAATTCTCTTCCTTGGATTTGCTACAATAATTGGTCCTGCAATCACGGGCCCCCATTTGATAACATTATATCTCTGGGTCTCACTTAGAGTCCTTGAGACAGTCGAGGCACATTCCGGGTACCATTTCCCTTGGAGCCCGTCAAACTTCTTGCCATTATATGGGGGGTCTGTACATTACTTTATTACTGTTAGAAATCATCCATTTGTATTTATCTGTTTTCCAGATTCCTGAAATTGCTATTATTCTTCCCAGGGCTGATTTTCATGATTATCATCATCGACTGCTCTACACAAAGTCCGGCAACTACTCGTCAACATTTGTATACATGGACTGGTAACACTTACCGCGCATTGCTTTAAACATTAATACCCTAGTGTAATTTAACTAACAGAAAAATGTCAAGTTCTGTAGTAAATTGGTTCAGTATATGAATACATGTGACTCTTATCTGAAAGAGTTGTGCTTAACTTTCCTTTCGTCCAACAAACAACCCCCCCCCTACCCCCCCCCCCCCACAACCCCCACCCGAAAGAAAAAAAAAAGAAAAAAAATATATAAAATATGACAATAGAAAACAACATATTGTCAAACAATTGAAAAAGGTTAAGATTCTCTATGTAATTCTATAGGGCTGGTTATCGTTTATGCAAGCTAAGCTGCAATGGATGGGACAGTAAGCCCTTTAGAGAAGGCCATGAAGTTTTATGAAGTAACATAAGGAGCTCAGTCGACCCATAAAATATGAACTTAATGTACTATGAAGAGTATCTAAAACATTATTAGTTCCTTAGTATCTTTTAGTTGTAGGATAAAGTACAGAGTACTACAGACAACATTTGTAGGGGAATAGGCAGATACTATGAGCTAATAGTGAAAGTTGTGTTTGTAGTCAACCTGGTAAGATTTGTGCCATAGTTTCTGTTGGTTTAGTGGCTTAGTGCATTGTAAACTAATTCAGTATTAATTCCATGATGGGCTTCATTCCATCTTCCTCTATTACTACAACCTTATTTTAAACAATAGCACAGGGAACTTGTTTTCCCCCTGATGCAAAGGCGATGCCTGAAATTGGATAGTTATTTTTTACTTTTTATTTTTAGAAAAATTTTAGAACCAGCTAGCCAGGAGTTGTTAATGTAAACTGGATAGATAAAAATACATTGAATATTAAAATCTGTAAAATTGGTATATTCACAACTTGGAGAAAAGAGAGGAAGTTACATTTTAAATAGTAATTGTGGGCACAATGAGCAAATATGTTGTAACTTCAGAAAAAGTTGAGTACATCTCTGAAAGTAATCTACTCATGCTTGTCAGTGGTGAAGTTCTTAGCACTTGAGTTGTCTTTATGCATTTTGCATTCCCAACGCAATGTAAATCTCTTGTATGTGGTTTTGTGAAATCCAAAACAACAACAACAACCACTATATTCCCATACTTGGGGTCTGGGGAGGGTAGTGTGTACGCAGACATTACCCCTACCTAGTGAAGGTAGAGGTTGTTTCCAATAGCCCTCGGATCAAAAAAGTAGGGACGAGGAGAAGAAGAAAAAGAAAGAAATAGAGGGGAGGAGGGGGGGGGGGGGGGGGGGAGGACAGAGTAAGTAGCACCAAAATAGTAATAACAAGGAGAATACAATAACTGAAACAAACTAAACAACATGATTATATGAGCATAATGTTTAGAGAAATGTCTCACCAGGCATAATAGGAAGTATCATAGATGCACTTATTAGTTTGATAGAAAATGCTAACACGAATTTGGGAGGAAGCTTTGAGGATTGTTAGATAGTTATGTGTAAATGGTCCTAGCCCAATATGTAGTAGGAGTAAAATATGTCCTAGTCCCATATGTAGTAGGAGTAGAATATCTATTATATATAGAGCTCATTGTATCATTGTTAAAAAAATAGATTTTTCTCTCGTGCATTCTCACAAGGATCAATGCAATTTGGGAAGTTTCAGCCATTTTTCTCTGACAAAAACTTTGTTAAGCTGTTTATGCTGTTATTACTTTCTCTTCATGTGTTAAAGTTTCTTGGTGACGGAGGGTCTCTAATATGTGGTAAGCTGGTTGTGGCATTTCAAGTTCCTCTTTACCACTTGTGCTAATCTTAAGACAAGGTTTCCAGAGAACTCCTTTAATATGAGAGTAAAATTTGATTTCATTGGCAGTTCTTTCTAAAACTTAAATAGCCTATTATGGTATGTGGCTCTATTCCTGTGTGCATGGGAGGTTACAGAAGCTAAACACTGCCTGTGTATGCTTGATAAAAATGTGTATTTTCTGTATGATTTCTCTTTGTAGTTCGACAGAAACAGCGATTGCATATGTCCGCCACATTGTGATTGTGTTGACTACCTCAATGTTGTCTCTGCTAATGTCTTATAACTTTTGTTGCCAGAACAATAGAAATAAGAGATCTTTGTAGAATCCGTGATCTGAAGGATCTCTCTCTCTCTGTTTTGTTAGGATATTTGGTACTGACAAGGGTTACAGAAAATTGAAGTCCCTGAAGGAAAATGAACGTTTTGAAGCTGAGGGCAAAGAAATGTGAAGAAGATGGGAAGGGGAATAAAACTATGCCTTCTTGGGCATCACATTACGGGTTTCCAGTAGAAATAGTATATAGGCCAAGGGTCAAATTGTTGTAACTAGTCATCTTGTGCACTTGTTGTATTCGTCTGTGGTTTTAAGAGAAACATTTTTATGTTAAGGTGGATCAATTAGAAGTTTGTGCTGGAGAACTTTTTCTCCCTGCAAACCTGCACTCCCCTCTTTTTGCTCTTATATGATTATAAGTTCCATTCTTTTGAGCGTTTCTTATGCGCCACAAGAGTTGTGGTGAGAGGGATGAGATTATCTATCCTTAACCAGTGGTCGCGGATTCGAGCCATGGGAATGGAAAAAATCTTGGTAGAAAGCACATCCCCTAGACCCTGCACGACTCTAATTGTTAGTCGGGGGTCAGTGTGTTTCGAAAACCGAATGATTATAAAATAAGATAGATTGTTTCTTGTGCTGCTAATAGTTGAACCTTGTCACTAGCACCAATTAAATACTAATTTTGGACTTCAAAATAGTTTCTTGAGTTCATAAATATTCTATCCCTTGGAGTTGTCTAAACAAAGTATTTTTAATTGAGTATGCTTAATTTGTGATATTCTTTTCTTTTTAGTTTGTATAAGAAAATGTTACATTTCTAGAGTGGGAAACAATTTAAATTAAAAATTTAATTTTATCCTTAATGGCATGCTTTTATGGTTGTGCAAATGTCATGGTATATGTAAACTACATTTTCGCTGATACTACGTTACATATATTGAGATAGAGAGCGTAACTAACTTGTAAGACCTATTTGAGCTCCATTGCTATATGTACCTTTACATTGAAACATTGCTTCATAACTTGGAAGTTCAGTTCTTTCAACTCAAGAATGTTTAACATACTACACACACTCTTGGAAACCCTACACACCACGAACCCCCTTCTTCCGCCCCTTTGGATAGAGGGGGGTTGTTGATGTTGTGTGCGCATTTGATGACTCAACTCAAATGCATTTTAGCCGAACTAACTGCAGACTGGTATTTTAACATGGAGCATTATGCTGGAAAAGACTTAGTCTAGCTAATGGATGAAGATATCAAGCCAGAGAAGACGGCACCATGAGTGATCATCATAAGGAAGAGAGTTCCCAACATAATCAAAACACAAAAGAAAGGGCTCAACAAGGCAGATGAGATGGTTCCATTTCAGAAACCTGTTGCACAGGAAAGCTGCAGAAATGTTGCATATCCTACACTAGCAAGTTTGAAGAGATGCAAGCAAGCCCAATATATGGCACCTGTGTAAAAATGAATGCCAAGATTATACTTTTTACACTGAAGAAATCTAGTTAAAATAGCAGAACCAGCACTGCATTGAAAAAATGGGAAGAAATGATAGTACTTCTTTTAGCATGCTCAACAGTTGGTTTGAAGGCTCATATTGCCTAAATGAACGAGCACTAAGGTTAAGATTACCTAAATAGTAATTTAATTCCTAAGCTACCACTAGTCAATGAGCCAACAGTCAAAAATTGATCTTTCAAAAAAACTTTTTCCAACACAATGGAAGGTCCAGCCAACGATGCATTTAATGCATTCGGACAAAATTTTCCTATGAAATGTTGTGATACTACATACCTAGAGGCTCTATTCCTCAGCCATGGTGAGGGTAAAAGCCATTTACAGACATTCCACCATCAACACAGATTATCTGGCCAGTGATGTACGAAGATGCAGGAAGACAAAGGAATCCCACAAGAGATGAAACCTCGGATGGCTCTCCCAGGCGCCCAAGTGGAGTCCGGTCATATACTTCTTGCAAATACTCTTTGTTACTCAGCACCTGAACATGAAAAAGGGCATCAGTTATTTAAGTATTAACAAACAATTGAAAAAACAGAAACTCAAACATGAATTGTTGTTTGGTTGACGTCCTGAAACAGAGAAAATGAACATTTGATGCAGCTAGCAATTTGACAATACAATGACGTTAACGGAATGGCTTTTGCATAGATGATTGCTAACGTGAGGATCAGCATAAAGAAAGCACCAAATAAGTTGTTCCCAATCTGGGGGCCCGGAAAAGAGCCATCATTCTTGTATTTACCCTGAGCTTTATGAACTGCCCTTACATCCGATTTCCTTACATCTACTCTTACAATGCTGCATTTGGCTCACACTGTATGTATGTATGTATGTATAAACTATAAAGTAACATTTCAACAAAATAGTTATATAACATGTGAGTACACCCACTACCACAAACGATTAGTTGATGCATGGCACAAAATGTGCGCCGTAAAGTGCGCATAGGCGCAGGTTGCAGGCTTAGGCTGCTCGAGACCTCTTCTCGACCTCCACATGGCTACTCTCTTTTTTTTTTTTTTTACTTTTTTTTTTTCCGCTTCTTCCTCAAATTTTTTTATTGGAATGGCAATCGAATTTGAACAAACTCACCAGTGCTGCTCTCTCGCTTAGCTCAACTTCTTCTTGCCAACTCGTTTTTCATAGTACACAAACTCTCCTCTTGCTACTATTAATTTACTCTCATCTCAGCAATGGGCGGGTGGCTCTTTTGATCTGTATTGGCAGAAGCATAGTTTGTGGATTTAGAGTACCGATTTCGTGGATCACTGCACCTCTTCCTTCAGCTGTCTATACCAGGATTTGACGCTTGATTTCCGGTTCAAAAGAAATGCGATAGCAAAAATGGGCAACCAGTGATTACAAAGGCGCGAGGCTATCACAATGTGAAAGCAATCCAGACTGGACATCTCTTGTCTGGTCTTAACTGTGTTGATCATGAGCATTTCCCTTCTGATACTAACGTTTCTTTTCTCCAGGAACAAAGGGAATGAAGGACCAAGGCATTGTGCTGCAATACTCGCATTGACTTTTCATGAACACCAGTGAATTCCCTTTGTCTTCTAGAAGCTCAAACAATCATGGCCTGTGGCCAGTTTAGCCAATGACTCTGTTGCTTTAGAAGATTCTGTGATCCTTATAATATAGCACTTGAACTTCTGAACCTTAGTTGACCTCTTGTTCGCCCCCCAAAAACCCACTCTTTTGGTGTTCAGTTTTGTTATAGCATGAAAAAGCATAAGCATCAGGATACATGTAGGACATAGATACTATAGAATCTGAACCTCAATAAAAACGATAAAAGTGTCATGTAACCCTCTGATTATGCCAATCTTAAGAATTGGAAGTCAGATACATGATACTGGTATGCTAGAAAAATTGGGATGCATGTATTTGAGACCAAAGACTACCTCAGAGGATATCAAAAGGACGCAGTTCATAAAAAAACAACACCATTTGTAATAGGACTACTGAAAAGAAGAAAGTTCATATTTACTTGTTCCACCATGGATGTTTTGATGTACCAAGGGGCAACAGCATTACTCCTGATGTTGTCTTTAGCCCACTCACATGCCAAATATTTTGTAAGTTGATTAATTGCTCCTACAGAAAGAAGTCAAGTGGAAAAGATGATGGCATTTCACCGTCATACTCTCTATCAACCCAAATGTTGTAAATAAATGGGAAGGAAGGTCTTACCTTTTGTTGCTCCTTGTACAGACATAGATTTCAATGAGACAAAACCCGAGACAGAAGAAGTGAATACAACACTTCCAGCTCCAGATTCTTTCAGAAGGGGATAAGCCAACTGAGACAGATGGAAGACAGATTCAAAATTTGTTCCCATGAGAGTGGAAAACTCTTCAGCTGTAAAATCCACCATAGCTTTGCGAATATTGGTCCCCACGTTGTTTATCTACTGAGCAATGAAACAAAGCTAATTGACTTATTAGTTCATCTATTAATGCATGCAAGTGCTCCAACAAAGCTAGATGAAAATAAGTTCAAAGATATTTGCGTCAACTGTCAACAGAGATGCCAGGTCAATTATCAAGAAGAATTAGGATATCAGACAACACGTATAAGTCGAAGAGCAAAGAGATACATGATGCAATGTATCTATTACCCAACAATGATTCAAATTCCAGTCTCCTACTCTTTGGTTGTTACTTGTATGCAACTGGATAAATGCTACTTTTACCAATTATTCTCTACATGGAAATAGTTATACATAACCTAACACAGAAAGCAGTAAATAAGAGGTAGAATTTAGGAGTGACGAGAGGAGCATAGAGAATAACAACAACCAGAGCTTCTAATTGGCTCAAATAGATGGAAAGCTTCCCAGAAACATCATATGAAACAAGACAATTTTGTGTAAGATTGCTAGACCTCTTTTCTGATACTTTCTTAAAATTGTTGACAGAGATGTTGACAAATGACAAGAGATAGAGATAACAAATGGGAGGCAGAATCATCTTTATCAATCTTTTAAGACAAATTATTTCTACTCTTTCAAGATCCTTGGCAGCCTTTACTCCAATTTAATCTCCATTACCTAACTGTCCAAACCATTGCAGACTGATATCCGATGAACCTATTGTATCTAACCCTGCTCTAATTTTTCAGCTTAAGAAAGATAAATCCTTCAGTTCCAATTGGATCTACTTTCTCGTTTCATTCTTTTCTGGTAACACATTACAACTTTGGTAATAGCTTTGTAGATTTTGCCTTTCATTGCAATGTGCAATGTGCCATTTGACAATTGCTGTTTAACTGCGGAATGAAGGTTAACAATGTTGCCACATACAAATATCATTGAGATATAATGCTACTAATAAGAGCTTAAGTGAATGAGACACCTACAAGAATATTGAGCCTCCCGTCGAATGTAGAAGAAACAACTTCCATTAACTTCTGGCGATCAACTTGAGAAGACACATCACATAAGGAGCCAGACACTGCAAAGCCCTCATCTTTCCAGCTCCTCAAACATGTCCCAAGCTCATCTTCATTCCGTGCACACGTATGCACAGTAGCTCCTAATCCACACAATTCCTCCACAATTGCATGCCTAATTGTAGAACAATTCACATCGACAGAAGGCAAATACTTCAATTAAATATGAGTAATCAAGAAAACAACATACAAATTACTGGATTTTGTGACTGAACATGTGCCAGCAGCTGTAGTAGTTATTTCTTCCGTCTAAAAAGGAATGACGATACAGAGTACAAGACCAAAGAACCTAATATTTGGCTTGAAATCGTAAATGTTTCAAGTGCTTAATCTTCTTGAAATATAATCTATATATTTAAAAACTACACATACACTACTCTTAATCGTAATTGGGTTTGTGACTGTGTGAATGTGCCAATGGCTACATTTGTTATTTCCACAAAGAATACTGTTTACAAGATCATCCGGGAAACCACTCCAACTCACATTTCTTATACTAAATTTTTCTAACAACTAGTACCCTTAGGGATCGTTTGTTTCGGAAAAGGATATCCGCGGATTACAATACTGGGATTATAATCCCACATTCAGTATGGCATAGATAACACCAAGATTTTAGTATACCGATTTTAGCTAATACCAATAACCAAACATGGATAAATGTAAATCGTAATCCCAGATTTTATATTGGGATTAGTATCCTAATCCCAGTAACCATACGACCCCTTAATGTATAAAAAGATTTTATAACACTTATAAGTAATTAAAGTTAACTACCCATAGTAAGTTGAATTATTAACCAAAAAATTAAGGCAGTTAACATTTTACAGCATGAAATTGCAGTTCATTTACACTGTTAGTGAATATAAGATAAATCCTTAAGAAATTAAAGTCAACTAAAAACTGGTTGACTCCGGAATAATCATAGTGTCATATACAATGAAACATAACATGAATCATAAACTAGCAAATGAAAAAGTACCCAATGCCTCGAGTGCCACCAGTGACAAGAGCATTCATGCCATTAAGGGACCATCTATTATTGACTTTGCCACAACATTTAGTGGCAGTAGTTGTGAGTCGAACTGAACTGCAATTCATCCATGGGTTTATTATACAGTTTCTGGGTTTTGGAAGTTGAAGTTTGTGCTTGAGAGAAGCAGCAACAGTGTGTGAAATGAAGAGGGGTTCCGACATTTTCTTTTGGATTTCCGCTCCTTGTTCTTGTTTTCCTTTGCTTTGCAAAGAAAACAGAAATAGGAGAGAGAGAGAGACCAGGGATTGAGGGATTCGGATTGTTAGATGTAAAGGGTGTATTTGCACAAATTTCCGTTGCCTAAGTGCAATTTTTGTTTATTATTTATAGATAATTTCAAAGACGTTTGGATTCATATTGGAAACATAGTTTACCCATCCACCTTGCATCCAAATCCCTCTTATACACATGTTGACTACCGCTTTAACATTACACATCAAACCTTTCACAAGTGTGTCAATGACACACCACTTTTGACCAGCCTAATTAATACTCAATATTGTGTATACACGCGCTTATTTAAATTAAAAACAAACGATTTTTTAATTAAAAATGAACAACCCGACCCAAGCTTAAAAAAACTTCAATAAGCTTTAAAAATAAAAAAATAAAAAAGTAGCTATGTGTCTTCCTCAACACCCCCACCCCCTAGGTTTATCCTCTTCCCCAATCCTACCTTCACGCTAGCTCCACCTCCACTATCACTTGCACGCCGGCTTCTTCCAACCCACCCTCCACGCCTATTATCTTCCCAATAATATTCACATCCACCGGTGGTCATAAAACTTATTTTTATCGTTGGAGCACGGACGAGAACAGTGAAAGTTTGACCAAAGATTGATCAGAAAAAGACTGCAAAATATACAATAGACCCAAAATTGCACTGGAAAAAAAACAAAAACAACCATTCAAACAAGCTTTGATGATGGATTTCGACTCTAACTTCTTTTAATCCCAGAGATGAGAACTCTTCCAACGATCGAGAAAACCAAGTCGACAATTACTAAAAAATTACTGTTTCACCTAGAATCGGTGATTTTGTTAGGTTGATTTTGAATCAATTTTCACCAACCCGATTCAGGATGATTTGGCTTCGAGTAAAGAAATCGAGATAAGGGGTTTCTTAACCATTGCTGTTAATTTTCTTCGATTTCTTCTCTGTTTTTTTTTGGGGGGTTTCTTTTCAGGTAATTTCTTAACCATTGTTATTGCTTGTTTCTTTATGTTCCTGACAATGAAGATGATGATAGAAAAAAATTAAAGAAAAAAAACTAGATATGTGGCGATAAAATGAGGCTTCAGATACATTTTTCTTATTATTCACTCGCCTGCTTTTGGTGTAAAACACGCGCCTGTCATGGGTCAAAAGTGGTGTGTCATTGACACACTTTTGAAAGGTTTGGTGTGTAACCTTAAACCCGTGGTCAACATGTGTGTAGCAGGGATTTGGGTACAAGGTAGATAGGTAAACTATGTATTATGCCTATTGTAAATCACAAGGGAGGTTATTGTGATAAAGCCAAACGTGAAGGGAAGTCCATGCAATTATTCTCTTTTAGTGTTTCACCTTTTGTTCGCTACTTGCATTGGGGCTCGACTAAATCTAAACTCGTGCAGGAAATTCCACATAAAACACTCTCTAACGAACTCTATACCCAAAGTTCGAAATCAAGATCTCTTGTTAAGGATGAAAATACTACTTCCCCATAATCGTAGTTGGTTTCACCATTACCTGGAATGGCGAAAACTGTGTAATAGATATTGTACCTAAGCATAGTTTAGTCATTTTTATGTACATGTAAAATACTATAAATATCTCTCCATGTACGGTGAACAGATCTTTGTGAAATACACATTGTTATATGGTATCACAAGTCTAAGTCATCTCTACATTGATTATTCCCCTCTTTTATCGAATTATGGTTTCCTCTTCCTCTACGGAATCAACACCTTCTCCACCCACCTCCATGGTAGATGCTTCTTCCCTTCTCCTATCATTTCATTATGCTATTTCTGTCTCTAACATTAAGAATCTTGTTCCCACGGTTTTTTATTACACAAATTATATGTTATGGAGAGAATTTTTCTTGCTTGTCTTCAAGGGCCATGGTGTCTATGGCTTCATTAATGGAAGTATCCCTTGTCCCAAGCCTTCTAATTCTCATGATGATGGCACATTTGTATTCAATCCTGCTTTCAGACAATGTGTTCAACTGGACTCTATTGTTCTCTCATGGATTAAGACAGCAATTTCTCAAGAAATTCTCTAGGATATAATCAAGACACACCATACTCTCACTGCTAGGGATGCTTGGCTTCAAATTGAGTGTCTATTTCGTGATCAAGTCAGCTCCCGAACTCTTCAACTCAAGGTCCAGTTTCACAATCTTAAGAAAGATGATGGTTCAATAAATGAATATGTTCATCGTCTCAACTCCATTGCTGATGTGTTAACATCCATTGGTAATCTCGTCTCTGATTCGGATCTCATTTTACAAATACTTTCTGGTATACCTCCTAAATACATGTCTATGAGCAATTCTATCTCTACTTGTATCCCTCTTCCCACCTCTGTTGAAACCGGATTCCGTCTTTTTCTTCATGAAGCTCAATTGAGTAGTATCTTCCATCCATCTACATATAATTTTACTACTGCTTTTGTGGCTAAGCAATAGTCTGTTTCCTCTAGTGATTGTGAACGTGGTAGGCACTACAATGGTGGCCGGAATTTTAATGGTGGGCATGGTAGAGGTCGACACAATCAAGGATTCTCAAAATCCTTTAACGTTTTGCCCCTCACAATTTCTGCTCGCCCCCGACTTCCTTCTATATTAGGTCCTCCGCCCTTTCCATTCAAGCTTCGTTATTTCCCTCTCCAATCACTCATGGAATTCTTTCTTGTAAACTTTGCTATCATCCCTACCATACTTCTCGTGACTACCCATCATTGGGTTCTAAAGCTTTTGTTTCAGATGTTCACTCTAGTCCTTCTTTCTCGTCTCATGCTTCGTCTAGTGATGCCTCTTGGTTTGTGGATAATGGCGTTTTTTTCTCACATGACCCCAAATGCATCCAAATTATCATCCATTCATCCATATAATGGCTCCAATCGTGTAATCATGGGTAATGGTATTCAACTTCATATCTCCTATAGGGCATGGTACACTTTCTACTCCTCATTCCGTCTTTTCTCTTAAGAATATTTTAATTGTTTCTCATCTTTCTGCTAATTTACTAAGTATTCATAAATTGATCTCAGATAATAGTTGTTCTATTGAATTTATCCTTTTGGCTTGTCTATTAAGGAATTCAAGACGAAGAGGCTACTTCATTGGTACAATAGCTCTGGACCTCTTTATACTCTCTCTTCGCCTTTCGATGGTCTAGTTGATACATCTCACTCTACTCTTGCCAGTGTTCGAGCCTCTCCAAACTTGTGGCATCGTCTGGTAGGACATCCAAGCTCGAAAATTTTAGCTAGATTAGTTAGGATCAATAACTTTCCTTGTTCTTCGTTGTAAGGCTTAAACAATTTATATAATGCTTGTCAACTTGGAAAGCATCACAAGTTACCATTTAGGAATTTGTGTTCCTTTTTTAAATCTCCTTTTGAATGAATCTATAGTGATATTTGGACTTATCCAATTCCTTCATTTCTAGTTTTAGATATTATATTTTGGTTCTGATTTCACTAAGTTTTCTTGGGTTTTTCCTATGAAGTGTAAATATGAGGCTTTCACTATGTTCAAGAAGATTTATGCATGTGCATTAACTCAATTTACTATAAAAATTAAAGCTCTCCAATGTGATGGGGCTGCTGAGTTTGTTAAGCTTCAAGAATTTCGTTCCTTTCTTAATAACAATGGTATTTTGCTTCGCATTTTATGCCCTCATACTCACCAACAAATTGGTAAAGCTGAACGCATGCATCGTACAACCTTAAATATGGTTCATTCTCTATTATCTCTGTCCTCTCTTCCATCTCAATTTTGGGTTGAAGCTCTTCACACTGTTGTCCACTCTTAAATATTATTCCTTCATCTAAACTTAATTTTAAAACCCAATATGAAGTTCTTTTTGGCAAGCCTGCCACATACCATCACTTACGTGTCTTTGGTTATTCGTGTTATCCTAATTTACTTGATTGTTCATCACATAAGTTGAGTCCTAGATCCAAACATTGTATCTTTCTTGGTTATCCCTCTAATTATGAAGGATATAGGTATTTTGATCATTCAAATAATAACGTATATATCTCTAGACATGTTATTTTCAATGAGGACTCTTTTCCTTATCCTCATCTTCTCTCTTTACCCTCACCTAAATCTGGTTTAACAAGTCCTAAATTTAAGCTTCCTTCTGTAATAGAGATTCACCCTTATCATACACAATATTTCAAAGCTACAGATGCTTCTTCAATTTCAACTACCGCTCATAATTTAATGCACTAGCTTGCTACTACTTCTAATGCATCTTCTATTTTTTTTCTCCCCATCCTACTGGTCACGTAAGGAGCAATCTGTTACAAGAAAATAATTTTACTCCAATGTTGATTCAATCTCCTACTCTATCTTTACAGTCTCCATTATGTAATCAACTATAATCAAATCAAATACACTCTAGAAATTTACTTCCTTTTCCTCACTCCTTGTCACATTCTGATATTCCCTTAACTATCTATCCTTCTTCTGCGCAACCAAATATTGATGTTGCTAAGTCCTCTGTACGAGCAGGACAACTCTCGTCTATCTCAAATAATTTTTCTTATACCATACAGACACATCCTCGTGGTGAATCGACCTTCAACCTGCTAATCAGTTCTCCAACAATAAAATTCATCACATGATTACCCGTCAACAAACAGGTTCTCTTACGCCTTGTATTCTTCCATCATTGCTTTCTCATACTTCTTTTCTTCCTTCTGAACCCCCATCCTTTATTGAAACCTCTAAGTGTCCTTATTGGAGACGTGCAATGGCAGAGGAATATAATTCCCCCATGGCTACCCACACATAGGATTTAGTTCCCCTCCCTTCTGATGCAAATATTATTGGTTGTCGTTGGGTATATAGAGTTAAACGAAAATCAAATGGTTCTCTTGAGCGCCGTAAAGCTCTTCTTGTGGCTCAGGGTTATAATCAACAATAAGGATTAGACTATGATCAACGTTTAGTCATGTGGTAAAACCAATTACCATTTGTACGGTTCTTGCTATTGATGCGTCTAAATGATGGCATGTTCATCAATTAGACGTTAAGAATGCTTTTTTTTTTGCATGGAGATCTTAATGAACTGGTATATAT